AGGCTTTTCAACGTAAACACTGACTTTTAAGAGAAAAGGCAGTGTTTACATTGATTCAAAGTGACACTGCTAGTGACAGTCACTTCAGGTGCTTCCTGTGTCAGTGCAACTACATTCAGGGCCTCCACACTCTGTAGGTGCTGAACGTTCCCCATTGAGATACATTGATTCAATGCATCTCTATGAGGAGATGCTGATTGGAGTGGCATTTTGAAGCCAATCCTATGGCAAAGCATTGGATTGGCTGAGATCATCAAGCTTGATGATCTGAGCTATAGAGGCAGGGCCAGTCGAGGGGAGACCAGCACGCTGAGTGGGGAAAAAAAAGGTGAGCAAAAACACTATTTTTAAACACATATACACCATGACAGACACAGAAACACACATATACCATGACAGATACACACCCCATGACAGACACACAAACACCATGACAGACCATGACACAGACAAACCATGACATAGACAGACCCATACACACACACCATGACACCGACAGGCACACACCCCATGAAGGACAGACACACACACCATGACGGACAGACAGACACACACCCCATGACAGACAGACAGACACACACCCCATGACAGACAGACACACACACCATGACACAGACACACACACCATGACGGACAGACAGACACACACACAGCATGACAGATAGACACAATGACACAGATAGACAGACACACACACACCATACAGACAGACACACACACACACACACACCATACAGACAGACATACACCATACAGACAGAAACACACACACACACACACCATACAGACAGACAGCATGACACAGACAGACAGACACACACACCGGTCTCATTAAGTTGCGCACTGGGGAGCAGAGACAGCGCAGCTCCCCCAGCTGCCGCCAGTACAAGTCCCCCAGTGGCCGCCAGAAGACCTCACCCAGCGGCCGCCAGAAGACCTCCCCCAGCGGCCACCAGAAGACCGCCCCCAGCGGCCGCCAGCAGACCCAGGTGTCTGCCCGGCCCCAGGTGCCGACGGCCCACCGTGAAATTTGCCCTAAATTAGAATAGGGGGAGGACCTAATGTCCTACCCCTGACCCCCACCCCTGAGCGGCGGGTGGGGGCCCTATATACTAATAAGGACCTAATGTCCTCCCTCCTGGCCCCCACCCCTGAGCGGTGGGTGGGGGCCCTACAGTAAAATAAGGGGGGGACCTAATGTCCTCCCCCTGGACCCACCCCTGATCGGTGGGTGGGGGCCCTAAATACTAATAAGGGGGGGACCTAATGTCCTCCCCCCTGACCACCACTCCTGAGCGGCGGGTGGGGTCCATATATACTAATAAGAGGGGTGGACCTAAGTTTTTGGTTATATGAGGGGAGGTTGCATAATGGAACATTGGCATATTTCTTTATTGGTGTCTTCATTAATTTACTTATCAAAAATGCATTTTGTATCAAAATATAAAAATTTGACTAAACTCGGCAGTAAGTAGCAATGCAACAGCTTTGTGTAAAAATTCTAAATTCTAAATATGCAAAATTGTCCAGACTGTCTTCTTTTGCAAATCAATCAATATGATATGTTTTTTCTGAATTTGAAATAGGCAGGTATTTAATTTGACCCAACAACTGACAAGCTGTACATAAAGATGTTGCTTTACTCAGCAGATGCAACAGAACGTAAACTGGGTGTTGTTCATTTTTGTTTTGGCCCACATGAAGATTACAAATATTCACTGCAAAATACAAGTTGTAAATGTGATGCATGTAAAAAACTCAAAATCCTCTAAAATTATAAGAAAGGTTTTTCAGATGTTGATGACAAAATGCTCACATGAGAAATGTCTAAATACCCTTGTCAATTTTTTTCTATGTGTTTGTTACACTGCAATTTAACACTTCCCCTTTATAAGTGTACTCAAACATAATATATACCATTCTGTAAAGAACGGTTAGGGTTGTTTTTTGGATATCCTATTTGTATACTTAACACAAGACTAGTTATGAACAAGTTTTCTTCTTTTTTTTTTTTTAAATGCTTTTTCAAAGTTTTGCTCATAACAACTTCAACACAACTAGTGCATCTAAGGTATCTAACTAATGGTATACTGACAGTTTTCATTTAACAATTTAATCACCAACCTAGCCAGAACTTCTAGGTATATTTTATTTTTTGTGGATTTTCCACAAACGTGGTTTTTAGGATTAATTTAATATAATATGTATGTCCCACTACTGTTAAGACCCTGATATGTATTCTGCTACTGCCGCCGAGTACAGCAATGTGTATACCATATGTATATCTTTGCCGGTATGGGAGCAATTTATAGGGTCATTATGGACGTGCCCTAATTTGGACATGTTTCTGTCCTTGCTTCCCATATACACTATTTGGTAGTAACACTATCTGTGCCACCATACTTACCAGTATCACACTTTGACACTATTTATAACCCTCCCATAATGCCAACCAGAGCCTTAATTGTAAACCTTGCCCTAACCTTAATCTTAACTGTAACCTATAACTCTAACTGTATCCCTAATGTTAACCCTACCTAAACAGTTTAGTAGATTGAGCCTCAGGTTGACTAGTCACGGTGGGAGTCAATCAAAGTAATGACATGTCTTAACTGACAGTTAAGGCAGGTCATTCATGTGATTGGCACCCAGTTATTGGTCAGTCCCAATCAGGGACTGCTGCTGTACTGCCTCCTTTTGAGGTTGTCCAACAGTAGCCAATTGACAGCCAATCCCAGCATGCACTGCAGCAGCCGGGAATCAGCTGTCAATCATACCATAGGACTGCTGCAAGGGGCTGTATTAAGCAGTCCTATGGTTGTGACAATTTCTTAAGCCTGTTACTCGACAGCCTCAGGACTGTGACTGTCCCATAACAGCTTGTACATACTGCTATCAGTGAGATTGCAGCATGTACAACTTGTAATGGAGGTTTCGTGGCTGTCTGAGGATAACAGGCATGTCAGTCATGAGGCATCCAGAAATAGCAATATCGCCACAACCATAGTTATCATGGCAATATTAGGAACATTTAAATCACCTCTGTATGCAGTACGGATCCTGGTGTTAAGGGCATTAATAATAGCTGCAAACCACATACCAAGGCAGTTGGGGGGGCTTAAAGATGATGGGAGGCTAGAATCAACCCCCAAAATTTTACTCTGATTTTTTGGGCTCTGCCCACTTAACCCCTGACCTAATCAGACATAAAACCCTGTTCAACATCATAAACCTATAGTGTCAGAAACAACATTACTTTAAAAGTGTCAGATTCCACCCCCTGTTGCGGTTAACCGATGACAGTCCTAGGGGACAGGAAAGTATACAGACCTGTCTAGAGAAAAACAAAATTAATAACGTGTACTAGTGCTTATTTTAAATTCTTACTCAAATGTGAATACCAAGTGTTTAACTTTTTAGCTGCTATCACACTGTGAAATGTTATCCTCTCATTCACACCTCATCAATAAACCACAAACCATAAATACAGTTTAGCGCTTATTATCAGTTAACAAAGTGTCTTTACATGAGTGGCAAAAAAAAATATCTCTTTGAATTACAAAGGAACCTCTTACCTTTAAAACATTAAAAATATATACAATAGTGTGTAACAGTATATAACAATTATGTAATACGATTGAACACTCACGCTTTCATGAACTAAACAGTAAACACATATGGTAGCTCTAGTGGTAACTGCTTGTGGCCCCATAAAGGGGACCCTTCCCCATTTTATGATGTAATCCCATAGTAGGTCCTGGATAATAACTCAGAAAAAACACGGACATAGTAGTAACGTAATATACAGAGATTCCAAAATATTTGACAAGTGAATACTCATAAGGGTGGAGCCGATATTATGCTCTATAAAGACGCAGTGTGGGATTAGGGACCACACTCCCTTTTTTAGTAGTAGCAGGAATAAGGTGCTAAGTATATATTAAAAATGTATTTATTTAGAGAATATAAAAACAAATAAAATAGTAAAAAATGGCAACTAAATACACTCGCACTATCGCTAGAATGCGTTTCACCACTTACATATAGGGCTTCATCAGCTGGGCAATGTGTAGTGACTCACTGCCTCACTACTAATTGCCCAGTTGATGAAGCCCGATATGTAAGTGGCGAAATGCGTTCAGGCGATAGTGAGAGTGTATTCAGTTGCCATTGGCGTAAAAAAATACGGTGGAAAAAATGTATAGTAAATACGATAAATTTTCTTCTCACTAACAAAGAGAAACGTAGGAATAAAACTCAGCTAGGAAGCAGTTAATAACTGAAACAATACATTTCATTAATAATTAAGTATATATAGCACATAGTCTTTGCTGGCTTTACTATGTCTTCCTTTTCTTATTTATAATTTTTGTTACAGGCTATATCCACACTTTATGAATCATGTGACTATTTCACAATGAAAAATCCCCCGGATACTTCTGAGACACGTACCCAGTGAAACCAACTTGTAAACATCTCCAGGGAATGCTAAACTCACAGAACAATGGCATTGATACTTAATACAAAATTTTGCTCAGAGTTGGGTGCGTGGATGTGAATAACACGTGGAATTGTTCTGTTCCATATACATAGTTTATCATTAGTGATGTCCCGAACGGTTCGCGAACGGTTCACCACGAACAGTTCGCCACGGACTCATCATTGAGTAAACTTTGACCCTGTACCTCACAGTCAGCAGACACATTCCAGCCAATCAGCAGCAGAACCTCCATCCCAAGCCCTCCCACCTCCTGGACAGCTCACTAAGAATGCAGCTTCACAATGAATGTAAAATGGATGCTGTCCAGGAGGTGGGAGGGTCTGGGAGGGAGGGTCTGCTGCTGATTGGCTGGAATGTGTCTGCTGACTGTGAGGTACAGGGTCAAAGTTTACTCAATGATGAGTCCGCGGCAAACCGTTCATGGCGAACCGTTCGGCGAACCGTTCGGGACATCACTATTTATCATCACATTTTACTTATAGATCCATTCATCGAATGTGGAAGTCCTCTATGGTGGGGATAAAGACGTTATATGATGTAACAGGGATCGTATCAAACATTTTGTATGTTCTGTCAAAAAGAAAAGAAAAAAGACTGACAAAAATGTTGTAGACAATGCAATGTGAAACTAAACCATCAGACCACTAAGTATATACAGCCTTATGGGATCAGACCTCCTTGAAACGAATGGTGTGTTGATATGTGAATGGACATTTAAATATACAAGACCATCGCGGAGAAACAATAGATAAATATGGACATTTCATTTCAAATACTTTCATATTGAATATTGAAAAGAGAAAACTACTGTACTGTATATATTTAACACAAAATGCATTATAAAAATAGAAAAGGAGAGTTAATCCCAGGTCTTATTTTTAAAACACATTTTCAAAACGCATAAATATGTTTCAAAAGTCTTTATCGTTTTCAAAACTTCAGCGGGTAAAAGAAAGCAGAGTTTTTTTACTAAAGTGTGAATTGTCAAGAAATTGCAGTGAATTGTAAATGTTATACTACTAATGTAGAATGTAGTGTTTGCATTTCGATGCAGGAGTGTGCTCACAACAACACTGCACACAAGTACACCCACTGCATTCCAATGGGAACAGCACATACAAATACACCCCTACATGAACACATATACTCTATAGAGAAACATGCTTACATTCAAATACACAAACGTTGCTCGCAAATGCAACCCTGCAAGGATGGGCAAATAGTAGGTCCCTAGCTGGTATAGCATCGCTGGAGTTCGACAGATGGGGAGCTGCATTGTGGACATTCTTGCACTAGAGGGGGTCCAAAAAACATTCTTGCATCAGAGCCCTCTCTACATTAGTTCTGCCACTGCACAGTGCCCCCACCTCCACTGTCTATCTGTGCTCATCTGGAGCACATTTACCATCAAAGGTACAACCCATCCCCTGTTATAGCTGGGAGAATGAGCTGAAATTGAGACACAGCCATAGTACATACCTCCAAACATTGGATTTGGATGCATGGGCCCTTAATGGATCATCTCTGGTGGCATCCAGAATGTATGGGTCCTTCTAGAAGGTACATCCCATGAAGGGGTGTGACAGTTTGTCATCAAGCATGCCAGGCTGACTAACATCCCCTCTATCTGACCCCAAAACATGTAGAAACAATGCAGAAACAATCTCTGCCTGGTCTTAGTGCCCGCTACACAGAGCCTGCACATCTAATGATGTACTAAATTGGGACAGTTACCTGATGCACTTGGATGTGGGACACCAATGAACAGAATTGGGATGATGATACAGGACTCGATGTGTGTGTGTGTATGGACTCAGCAGTCTGTGTGTGTGTGTGTGTCTGTTTGTGTGTGGATGGACTCAGCAATCTGTGTGTCTGTGTGTGTGTGTGTGTGTGGATGGACTCAGCAGTCTGTGTGTGTGTGTATGGACTCAGCAGTCTGTGTGTCTGTATGTGTGTGTGTGTGTGTGTGTGTGTGTACTCAGCAGTGTGTGTGTATGGACTCGGCAGTCTGTGTGTCTGTGTATGGACTCAGCAGTCTGTGTGTGTGTCTGCTAGTGAGGAAGCTTTTGTGTGTGTATGGACTCAGCAGTCTGTGTGTTTGTGTATGGACTCTGGAGTCTCTGTGTGTGTATGGACTTAGCAGTATGTGTGTCTGTTTGTGTGTGTATGGACTCAGCAGTCTTTGTGTGTGTATGAACTTGGCACTCTGTGTGTCTGTGTGTGTGTATGGACTCAGCATTCTGTGTGTGTGTCTGTGTGTGTGTATGGACTCAGCAGTCTGTGTGTGTGTGTATGGACTCAGCAGTCTCTGTGTGTGTGTGTGTGTGTGTGTGTATGGACTCACAGCCCGTGCGTATGGACCTCAGCAGTCTGTGTGTCTGTGTATGGACTCAGCAGTCTGTGTGTCTGTGTATGGACTCAGCAGTCTGTGTTAGGTGTGTGTCTGCTAGTGAGGAAGCTTTGTGTGTGTATGGACTCAGCAGTCTGTGTGTCTGTGTGTGTGTGTATGGACTCAGCAGCTATGTGTGTGTATGGACTCAGCAGTATGTGTGTGTGTGTGTGTGTCTGTATGGACTCAGCAGTCTGTGTGTGTATGGACTCAGCAGTCTGTGTTAGTGTGTGTCTGCTAGTGAGGAAGCTTTTGTGTGTGTATGGACTCGGCAGTCTGTGTGTCTGTGTGTGTGTATGGACTCAGCAGTCTATGTGTGTGTATGGACTCAGCAGTATGTGTGTCTATGAACTCAGCAGTCTGTGTGTCTGTGTGTGTGTATATGGACTGTGTATATGGATACACACTGTATCAAGGGAAATGTGTTTGTTTTTAAAAAAATCCCTGGTGGAAAATAATGAATCCTCTACCAGGGATTATTAAAAAAAACACACAAAAAAACATTGTGTCGGGGGTGGGGCTTAACATGTGGCAGGGGTGGGGTCAACTTTTGTCCCTGGCCCACCCTGTGCCCCCCCTAATGGCAGTCTCCCAAGTGTAATCTCCCAGTAAAATAGACAGGTACCCAAACATCAGCCGAAACTAGATGAAGGGTGTAACAGGAATGATTTTAATAGGTGCCACATTGGCTTTTTTGCAAGTCCCTATGCAAGGGTTACTCCCACATGGACCTTGTTGGAGACTCCAACACAAAGTTATACACCAATCACAACATGGTTACAAAGTATAACACTCCCATAGTAAACATACAATTCCTCTTTCCTGCCTGGCAAATAATTGAGTCAGATACTGTAATAACTCAATTATCTCCAATCAGAAAAAACACATTTTCCCCAACACTTCACAAACACCCCAAAATACATAGCATCCTCATAAATGTCATATTCCCTGATCTCGCTGATCTGGGTGACCAACATATCCAAAAACCACCCAGATCAGTTCAGGGGTTTAGGAGTTGCATGGAAGTCTTAGTTTGACCGACCGCACATGAAGTTCTTGCCCAGAAACAGTTCCATGAGTTCAGGTTGTGGGGTCGGTCTATTTCAGAAAGTCATTGTGGCGGAACCAACCTCGCCACTATGCACTGGAGAAGCCTGGTTGCCAGCCTCCTGCCATGTGACTATGGCCCCTGGGATGTATTGCCCTTTAAAGACATGATTTGGGCATAATGGATTTGTGTTGTGCTGCTGCTGGCCCTTTTTAAGAACCATCTGGGGACATACTGTGGAGTTACTGGGTGGCCACCATTTCCTGTATCAGAAGCACATGGTGAGAACAATGGATGGCGGCCATTTTAACTCCCAGACACTGTTTGGACTTTTCAACACGGTGCCATCTCGCCAGTATTTGTTGCACAGAGACATCGTGCGGTGGTTTTGGACTATACAGCAGGGGACACATTATACAGTGATTGTTTTTATTTAGCCTGTATATGTTCTGCAGAATCTGCATTAAACTGTATTTTCCAAAGTACTGAACGGATCTGGGTGAATTTTGGATATGTGGTTCACCCAGATCCCCCAGTTCCAAGGATATACTTTTTATGGGGTTATTGCATGTTTTGGGGTCCCTGTGATGTGTTTTATGAAACTGTATTTCTCTGGCTGTGATAATTAGATTACCCATTGTGTTCAGTAATCATATCACAGCCAGAGGGGAGGATTTTGTGTGGGAGTGTCTGGGTGTATTGTATGGATTGATTGGCTGTTTTGTAACGCCCTGTGGGCTGTACTATGTTTGTGAATTGGGAATAAAAGAGACTGTATGTGACAGTACAGGGAGTTCCTGTTTTAACCCTCAAAGTGAAGTGTCGTCTCATTATTGGGGGAAGGATTCATTGTATGCTGTTCCAGTTTGACTGCTAGGAGAGTAAACCTATTCGTATGGTTCCTTTTCAACTGTCTACAGCATTCCAATGCTTGGGAGAATTTATTTGTTTCTCCGGTTCGGTGATTGTGGTGTCTGCCAGAGTGCTTGGAGTCCTCAGGAAGCGCTAGGAGCATCCTTCAACGGAGGTACCCAGTCGGGGTGCCAGGTGATCCGTTACAGTCATAAAACCAAACAAATTCACGAACCCCCTGGCTCAAAGTAGCGTTTGGTCCCCTAGTTCGTGGGAACAAAACTACCGAACAGTGCTCTCCTAGCTGTTTGGGAAAAGGAAGCAGGCGTTCATATGGTTTGACCAGTGTTCGGGAAGTCGAGTGTCCAATTTTAGTTCCAGACACTCGACGACCAAGTCCGGCTGCCTCCTTTCATGCGAACAAGATGGCCGCAGTTTTCTCCTGTATGTGGCGTTCGACTATATGAAAGGCGGCCACACAGGGAGAGCACTAATTCCTTGTTCTCTTTGTAGTTAACAAGCCAGGGGGGTGGTCTGTGTTCGGTAGTTTCAACTACCGAATGGAAAATAGTTAAATAACTGAAATAACAGGGTAATTTCTTCACAGATGGGGCAGAGTCTTGTTCTGCTTTTGTTCTCTAGCGCCCCAGGGCAGCACAGCGCAAGTTTGGGGTCATGCTAAAAGAGCACTACAATATGGTCTTTTTGCAGGGCCAGACTATGAGCCCATTGGGCCTGGTGCTGACAATTATGAGGGCCTAATTACAGAATCTTATCGACAGAAAACACTAAGACAGTTATACCTTCAAAGCGTCATATATCTAGCAGAGGTGGTGCTTGAGGGAAATTCACAGGATATAGCAAAAAGCACATACCCTATGCTAATCTCTTGCTTTCATCTTTCAAGTAAATCCATACACACTAACAGCAGCTTCCACTGAAGTAGGATGTCGGTGGGCGAAGTTAAATTGTGGGCCACAGACGCAAACACATAACCAGTCCCGCCCAAAGGGGCAACATGCCCAAAAAAGGGGCATGTCTGCCCAAGGAATTGGAAGACCAGTCTGCCAATCATGCAGGCCGGTCAACTAAGGACATACTATACAGAGAGCACCCTGAGCTTGGCATAAATGCATCAAATGATGAGCTTGCTTCAAACTTTCTAAGTACTGTCCCCTAACACTCACTTGTCCACTCCTATCCTTACCTTCATACTAGCAGGCAGAAGCTCCTGGCATACATTCTTGGACATAGAAAAGGTGTAGTGAGTGTAGATGAAATGGAACATGCCACAGTGGTAGAGAGATCGAAGCAGAAAAAGCAAAGTCAGTTTAACCTTTTTCATTCATTTCATTGTCCACACCAGTTTTGTTTACCTACATTCCTCTTGAGTTTCCATACTTAAGCAACAGCATATGAAGAGTAGGTACATTTTCTTTTCTTTTTTTAATCAAAAGGCCTATTCTATGGGCTTGGGCTTGGAGCTGCAACTCCATTAGCCTCTATGTTAATCCGCACGTGGTCTTTTGTGTTGGTGGCCATCCAAGCAGGTGGCCTGTCAGCGTGGGGTGCTTGACATTAGGCTGACAAGCTCTGTTAGTGGGCAAACCTGCCATTTTTACTTTATGATAATTGATATTGTCAACAATTTTGTACATATTGTGTAGCACAAGCACACAACCTTTCTTAAATTTACATTTCTCTTCCATTGTATGAATGACAATTTAGATAACATGATCAGAAGAGCTCTGATAGCCCTTCAGGATATACATTAAAATTGCCTTAAGAGAAATTCTAAAATGGTATTAAAAGTAAGATGCTACAACTGTATCATGTGAAGATGAACCAGAACAGGAAGTGTCTGAATGGGGACATGCATATATAGTGTGATGTTTGTGTTTCCTGAACACTCATGTACTGACACTCACAGTGATAGTATGTTTATCTTGTAAGAATGACAAGGAAATTTAGCATAATTCTCTTTTTACTTCAGGTATATGGTAAAGGTAAGTTACATTTTGTACACAGTTCATTGCAGATAATATTTATTGTTTACTATAGACTTTTATTGCTATGGTTCTTTAGGAATCAAACTGTTTAGTTCATTTTTCTTAAACTGCATCCATATTGTAGATGACGTAACCCCTTTTAACCCCTTAAGGACACATGACATGTGTGACATATCATTATTCCCTTTTATTCCAGAAGCTTGGTCCTTAAGGGGTTAAAGGAAGGGCTAATGAAGAATGGAATTCTGGTAACTTTAATTTTCCTCCATTCTATGCTTGAATTAAAAAACAATCTGATTTCTATATATAAACTTTGTAATCTGTTGATATCTTCTACTATTCTTGGACATGTTTTGCTTCAAAATTTGAACGTATATTTTTGTCTGTTATTGAAATAATTAGTTGCTTTATCAATGCATGTTCAAAGACAGCAGATAATAACTATGCTAAATTTGAAAAGAAAACCGGACAATACAAAGCAAGAGTGCTAAATTAAGAGTGATTACCGCAGAGATCAGTGGGATTTTCCTGGTGATTTAATTAATGTAAGCTTTCCATGATAAATATGAACCATGACTCTTTATACTCTATTCATGATTGCACCAGGTTCACTCCTGAGTGTATGATTCATGGATAAAGACATAGCAGTCTGAAAACTGGGTATTTACTCAGGAGAACTCAGCAACTGGACATGGTAGGAGCCTTCTACATTTACATTTTGCCATAGGAATAGTAATTGCTATGCTTCTCTCTCAGAGCATAAGACAGGTGATAATTACCTTCACATATAAAACAAGCAGCCTACCATAAATACTTCATAAAACGCTTCCTGAAATATGCGTTTAGCTTATTCTCCTGCTGGGTTCACCCAAAATATACCTTTACTATTATGTTCAAGAAAGTGAAGGTAGGTGACCAAAAAGACTAGCCACCTACCTACACTTTTTTGGCATTAAATTATCTATGGTGCATGCCCTGTTTTGCATAGGTTGCCTCTCTATGTGATTGCCCATTTTTATTGGTTTAACTTTATGTTGGTAAACAGAATTGCTAAATTGTGGATGTGCATCATTAGGCCTATCTTTACGTGTTAGCAAATGTAATGCTGTGGATATCTCATTAATGTTTGATGCTTTATAATCTATATCATGTTTACAGAGAACTCAAATCCATACACACTAACAGCAGCTTCCACTGAAGCAGGATGTCGGTGGGCACCTTAGTAGCTGAAATTTCGTGTTTTAGTCATTACATGGCCATAATATGCTGAGCTTGACTTATGTTGAAACACCCCACATTGGCAAGTCCTAACGTCACTAATATTGCAGATCACTGTCCTATTTGGACTTAAGCCCTTCATCCCTTTACACTGTGGTACTTGATGAAAGAATATTTTCAGGATGTGAAACCCCATTGTATATTTAATGCAAATATATATGCAAAATAAAGATAATAAATGCAATTAAGTTTTTGTAAGATTTATTTTGCATGTCTCTCTTTAACATCAGTTTTATTCTTAAAAATGGCTTTGTTTTGACAGTATTTTCTTGTGATGCTCTAAATGTAACTCAGTCTCCAAAGCGTTTAGTGTTACTGGAAGGAGAGAGCGCTGTTATAAATTGTACCTGGGATCCCGACCATAGAGCGAAGCAGATCAGAGTGGAATGGAGAATATCTAACAAATCATCAATAGAAGTGGAAAATAAAACTCTTTTGGCATCTGTTCTATGGAAAGGAAATGATACATGCAACATTACACAAAGGAATCACAATGGGAGTACTTATTATGTATCTAACGGTAAAGCAGAGCTACGGATTAACTCTGTCACAGTGAGAGATGAAGGAATTTACTTCTGTGAGATCAATATTGAAATACCAAGACTTCAGCATGGAAGAGGAAATGGCACTGAATTAGGTATCAATACATTAAACAATACTGGTAAGGATACCTGTGTTAGAAACATATACCTAAAAATACTTGAAAATTCAGCAATATTTCGACGCCTTTGCTCTACAAATACATATATCTTTTAATACTTATATATAGGAAGAGACGTCAGAGCAGGTTTACTGCAAGTTTTACATGTTAGGGCTCCATAGGGCTATGGACAGTATAACAATATGGGCCTTCATGTCTAACAGAATACACTCAGTTTAGAATTGCAAACACTGTTGCGAAGAAAGGATTTTGCATATTTGCATAAACGATGCAGTTGTTACCTGTATTGCTTTTTATATATCTGGCTCTGGTAACAGAACTTAATGTATCAAGTGTCCCACGTATTTTGTTTTCTGCTCAAAAAGCCCATTAGTATTGATGTAACCCCTTGACTGTGTTTGCCTGATTACATACAGTAGAAGAAAGTTATCTGACAGCCATACAGTAAATATATATTTTGATTAATAAATCAGGGCAATCGGTGGAAATATTAATGGCGATAGGAAAATGTACAGAAACAGCAGTGAAAATACATACCGAGCTTCAGTTGCCACTTCCTGGTGCCTTTTGGGACCATAATACATCTCATGGTCTTCATTCTTTGCCGCAATATAACCCATCTAGGAGTTCACCTTTTAATTGTATCAGTGTATTTTCACAGAGTTCTGCAGCAATAAAATTGCAATTAATATATCTGCAAATGTGTTTGTTTAAATTAAGAATGTATTGTTCAAAAATATAAAATAATTTAGGTAGCTATCAGCAGGTAATGTATTACCCCCAAATCCGTTTTACATGTCCTAATATTAAACAGTCTCTATTTATCAATTTCAAATGTTGAGCAGTTATTTATAAGGCCAAAAATCACTATATTGATAACAAATTAAAAATAAATGAACTGAGTTGGTGCAAAATTAATCTTAATCTTAGCAATTCCTAAAAATATATATTAATTTATTTACATAGCTATCAGCAGGTAAATAAATAATCTACCTAACAATCCCTAAACTATTATAAATTAATAGGACTCCTGATGTATCTCTTAACTTTCAGTAATACAAAAAAAAAAATAAAAAAAATAAAAGCAAATATGCAGGTTGTCTCCAAGAACCTTAATTATAGAGTCAGAATTCACTAATTTCTCTTATGACCATGTCCTGCTTCAGCAGAGGCCCCCAAGAACTGTCTTTTAATTCCTCATTCTTTACACTTAGGATGACATATAAGTAGGCAAAATCATTTAATTTACTTTAAAAATAATTATTAGGTGGTCTTACAGAAAAATATATTAGCTTTCGATCCCTTAAGGTGGGGCCAGCTTAAAATCCCTGCATGTACCCCAGAATTAAAAAATGAATTTAGACAATCATTAGCCATTCCTTTAATCAGCAAGTCCAAATTATCTTTAATTAGTTATTGAATTTAACTGGAATGTGCATACTCATTCCCACTAGTAAACACAAAAGTTGGATTTTATTTTAATCAAGTTAATCAGTTTTTCTTGATTATATTAATTATTCTGTTATTTTGAAGCTTTATTAATAACACAAAATGTTTTAGAGTTTATCCCTTATCTTTAATTTTTTTAGGCAGGATCTGAATTAGTATACATTGACAAATACCTTTTTGTCAAATACAGTAGGTATCCCAAAATAAAATGGTCGGGTAACTTGCTTATAGGTATTTGTAGGGAACCTGATGGGATTTGTAGCAATTCTCAAAATGTACAACTTATCTGATATACCATCAGAATGTAAAAAGTATACTTGTTTTCACATAATGAGTACATATAGTTAGCACAACTGCTTGGCTAAATCACCCATCTGTACTACATTGCAGGCTATATATTACCCATACAGTGTGATCAAACCCTTACTCAGGTCATCTCTGGAACTGAAGGAATGTAACTGCCTGTTTGTAATATTTATAGTCATTTTTATATAGAGCAGTCATTTCAGTAAGTCCTCTTTGTGTTTTGATTTAAACACAATGTGTATTCCTATAGGTTAAAAGTAATTACCAGCGCTCACGTTGCGTGGTAAAATATTCACTCAGTAAACGTTTGCGGAAGTTTTTGTAAAAATATACAGAGCAGGAGGTGTGTGCATTAACCTAGTTTTCAGCATATGCAATATGATGTCCGGAAATCATTTTGGTACACTTGGGGCTACAAGAAAGTGTGAGAGAAGATGCTAAGGGCTGAATCAAGGTGTACATCTTGGCACAAATTCCCTCTGTGACTGTTTATCATTACCTCTAAAAGTACGGCCAAGGACTTCTTACCCATTTTGGCCTGATGGCATTATTATGATAAATAAACCCTACGTAAAACATCTGCTGCACATTGCCTTTTTCCTTGATCCATTGTGTCTAACCAGTTGAGTTCCCAAAATTAACTTTGTGCAAATATCTACCATATTTATGAAAAAGCCATGGAATAACGATAAAAAGCCACTTGTGAATTATTTTATTCTTAAAAAGCACAATTTTAGATATTGTTGAATGATACTTAATACACACATACCCGCAAACCTGATGATATGAAAAAAAATTTTTTAATTATGAAGGAGCTTCAACCAAACGTCATAAAAGAATGCTTCAGATTTAGTGATGCACCGAACGGTTCGCTGGCGAACAGTTCCTGGCGAACATAGCGTGTTCGCGTCCGCCGCGGACGGCGAACACTTGCGCGGTTCGATCCGCCCCCTATTCGTCATCATTGAGTAAACTTTGACCCTGTACCTCACAGTCAGCAGACACATTCCAGCCAATTAGCAGCACACCCTCCCTAGCAGACCCTCCCACCTACTGGACAGCATCCATTTTAGATTCATTCTCAAGCTGCATGCTTAGTGAAAGGAGGGAAAGTGTAGCTGCTGTTGATTAGAAAGGGAAATGCATAGCTAGGTTAGGGTATACAGTGTCCACTACAGTCCTGAAGGACTCATCCGATCTCTGCTGTAAGGACAGCACCCCAAAAAGCCCTTTTTAGGGCTAGAACATGTCTGATTTTTTTTTCTTTTTTTTTTCTGTGTAATGTAATTGCAGTTAGTAGTCTGCCACTGCTGCCAGCTTCTGTGTCAGGCTCACAGTGGATACTGTGCCCAGTGCCACCACTCACTCACTGGTGTCACAATAGCTTGCATTTAAAAACAAAAAACTTTTTTTCACTGTAATAGATTGAATAGCAGTTAGTTGTCTGCAAGCGTCTGGGTGTCAGGCCTCCTTCAGCATGTGCTCTGCAGACCTCTGCCCGTGTACTTTGCCACTCATATCTGGTGTCTCTATAGCGTGCTTTTACAAATAAAAAAAGTTTTTCAGTGTAAGCTAATAGCAGTCAGTGTCCTTAAAGCGGGTGTCAGGCCTTCAGCGTGTGCTCTGCAGACCTCTGCCAGTGTACTTTGCCACTCATATCTGGTGTCACAATAGCGTGCATTTAAAACCAAAAAACTTTTTTCACTGTTATAGACTTAATAGCAGTTAGTTGTCTCAAAGCGGGTGTGTCAGGCTCACAGTGGATACTGTGCCTAGTGCCACCACTCACTCACTGGTGTCACAATAGCTTGCATTTAAAAACAAAAAAAAAAAAACTTTTTTCACTGTTATAGATTGAATATAAAAGTGGCCTCTTTGAGAGAAATATTTCCCACAATCAGAACAAAAATAAGGTTTCTCTCCTGTATGGCTCCTCAAATGATGCTTAAGATTAGAAGCGGCTGAAAGGCATTTCTCACACTCAGAACAAAAATATATTTTTTTAACATTCTCTCCACTTTGAACGAAATGACGTTTGGGAAGAGATTTTGTATGAGTAGGTTTTTCATGTACGATGCGGGAACATGATTTAGATCCTTGGTAAGTTTTGCGAGACCCAATAGTGTGTATGTAGGGGGAACAGTCAATCCATATCTGCCAAGTGACCCTATGTAGGAGGAACAGTCTCTTTTCTGCTCTGTGTCAGTGTGTATGAGGGGCTCTGAGGACAGGTGTCAATCCATATCTGCCAAGTGACCCTATGTAGGAGGAACAGTCTCTATTCTGCTCTGTGTCAGTGTGTATCATGTTCTCTGAGGACAGGTGTCAATCCATATCTGCCAAGTGACCCTATGTAGGGGGAACAGTCTCTATTTTATTATTAGACATATTATTAATCAGCACATCCCAAATACAAACATACCCAAAAATCATGCAAATCCTTCCATTAGTTCAAAAGTTAGTTAGAAGTCCTTTGTGACCAAAGGAAGCATGGCTTTTCCTGCCCAAACCAGTTCCCACTGGTCTGGCAGTGTCCCTGGGACAACTCCCTGCTGGAGAACAATAAACAGGAAATGGGGGAGGGGAAGAAACACACCTTCCCATGGATTCCAATGGGAAGAAACTGTCTTTAGATGCCAATAAGCCCCAAATAGTCTTTTTAAATGGCAATACACCCCAGGGCCATAGTCATGAGGAAGGAGGCTGGCACTCAGGCTCCTCCAAAAGCCGGGGGCAAAGGGCAGCTTGTCACCTAACAATCCAGGGACAAAAGGCATTTCGTCACAAGGGGCTCTGAGGACAGGTGTCAATCCATATCTGCCAAGTTACATAGTTACATAGTTACATAGTTACATAGCTGAAAAGAGACTTGCCATCAAGTTCAGCCTACCTCACATTTGTTTTTTGCTGTTGATAAGTCCATCAAGTTCAGCCTACCTCACATTTGTTTTTTGCTGTTGATAAGTGACCCTATGTAGGAGGAACAGTCTCTATTCTGCTCTGTGTCAGTGTGTATCAGGGGCTCTGAGGACAGGTGTCAATCCATATCTGCCAAGTGACCCTATGTAGGGGGAACAGTCTCTATTCTGCTCTGTGTCAGTGTGTATCATGGTCTCTGAGGACAGGTGTCAATCTATATCTGCCAAGTGACCCCATGTAGGAGGAACAGTCTCTATTCTGCTCTGTGTCAGTGTGTATCATGGTCTCTGAGGACAGGTGTCAATCCATATCTGCCAAGTGACCTATGTGGGGGAACAGTCTCCTATTCTGCTCTGTGTCGGTGTGTATCATGTTCTCTGAGGGACAGGTGTCAATCCATGTATCTGCCAAGTGACCTATGTAGGAGGAACAGTCTCTATACTGCTACAGAGTGCAAGAATTATTAGGCAAATTAGTATTTTGACCACATCATCCTCTTTATGCATGGTGTCTTACTCCAAGCTGTATAGGCTCAGCCTACTACCAATTAAGCATATTAGGTGATGTGCATCTCTGTAATGAGAAGGGGTGTGAGATCTAATGACATCAACACCCTATATCAAGTGTGCATAATTATTAGGCAACTTCCTTTCCTTTGGCAAAATGGGTCAAAAGAAGGACTTGACAGGCTCAAAAAAGTCAAAAATAGTGAGATATCTTGCAGAGGGATGCAGCACTCTTAAAATTGCAAAGCTTCTGAAGCGTGATCATCGAACAATCAAGGTTTCATTCAAAATAGTCAACAGGGTCGCAAGAAGCGTGTGGAAAAACCAAGGCGCAAAATAACTGCCCATGAACTGAGAAAAGTCAAGCGTGCA